TTTGTCTTACATGTGTTATTTAGTGTTGCTAGAGTACTCCTTACAGTAAATTTTCTGAATCTGGTGTATAGATGTTAAAATGTTTAGAGTTTTTACATGTCTGAAAATGTCTTCATTTCATACTTAGGCTCAGTTGACAATTTGGCTGGGTATAGAACTCTACATACAAAATAATTTCTCTTAGAATTTTGAAGGATTGCCTCATTATCTTCTGGTGTTACCTGGTTTTGATAAGAAATCTTAAGGCAGTCTGACTCTTTAAAGGTATCTTTTCTGAAAGTTTTTAAGATTTTTCTCTTTATGTTTTGAGTTTGAAATTTATAACACTGGGTCAAAGTATCGTTGCTTTTCATTCACCCTCTGTTTTTATACTGAATGATTAGCTTTACATTCTTAGCTTTAATTGTAATATATTGGGCTTCCTTTAGCTTCACCTTAAACTTTTTATGGAAGACTTGCAAACAGCATGTCTGCATATACTGCTGGGTTGGAGAAGGAGCTCCCTCACAAACAGCATCCCATACTCTACTTAGGAGAGCAGGAAAGTGTAAACATTTTTTATTTTTTATTTTTTATGTTTTATTTATTTCTAGGAGAGAGAGAGAGACAGCATGAGCAGGGGAGGGTCAGAGAGAGAGGGAGTGACAGACTCTGAAACAGGCTCCAGGCTCTGAGCTGGCAGTCAGCACAGAGCCCGATGTGGGGCTCGAACCCACAAACAGCAAGATCATGACCTAAGCGAAAGTCGGACGTTTAACCGACTAAGCCACCCAGGCGCCCCAAGTGTAAACATATTTTAGAAAAAATTTAAAACCAGAAATGGTCATTAAAATTGGTCACTTAAAAGAAAGCTTTTTCTCCTGCTCTTTTATAAAATTCATATTGAAAGACCAGTCTTTGGCATTGCCTCTTGGTGGCCCTGCCCTCTGGGGCAGAGAACTGGGCAGGAGGCAGCCAGTTAGGCCACCCACCTTCACCTCTCTGTGCCTCAGTTTCCTTCACAGACAGCAGGTGCCTGTGCCCATTGTTGAGAAGGCGTAGGCGCTAGAGAAGTCTCAGTAGCTGCCCCGTTCTGATCTTCCCCATGATCCCATGTGTCCAGAAGATGTTCTGTTTTTTTTTTTCTTGCCTCATTATTTCTTACTCGCATTGTCTTTAGTTTGTTTGAGATAGAAAACTTTAAAAATATCAGTTACTGTGGAACATCTGTTTCAACTTGCATCTGAATATGTGTAAACAAATTGTGGATTTTGAAACTAGTTTGAACATCCTTTTAAAATATTCTTTAATTAAGATGTTTTGTATCTTCCATAGTTGATAAAATAAGTTAAAAGCATTTTGGTGACTGGTTTGATTGCTTTTCTAATCTCCATTTTAAAAACAAGTTTTATTTTTCATAAAATACATTTATAGATTAGACATAACTTGAGTAATGTCACATTTGCATGTATTTTGTCAATTTAAAAAAATCAGTTGTAATAATGTGAAGAAATGGAGCCAGTCTGCCGTCATTTTGAAGATGGGCAAGGCAGATTCATGGGAGACCCCATATTATACAGGTATGGAATAGAGTTAGTTTGATTAGATCTGAAAGGGTAGATTTTCCTATAATGATATTTTCTTAAATAGGAAAAGTTATATTGACTGTTGGGTAACGTAAATCCAAGGTGTTTCTTTTTTCAAGAGTGCTAAATTACTTAAATTGGATTAAGATTCATTCATTATTATTTCATATCATAACAGGGCAAAACATTCTTAACAATGTGGTCACTTGCTCAAATGCAAATACAGCACAGTTCCGCCTCCCCAAGGGTGAGGACACAGTCCCGCCAAGGCTGCGTTTTTCCCTGCTGTGACCATGACAACCAGCTGCGTCCCTTTGTGACGGCCCACCTCCCCCCAACCCCCAACATCAAGCGCTGGCACAAACATCTGACTTTCTTCAAGGCAGTAATATTAAAGCAAATTCCTCGTCTTTGCCAAACATAGGACTCATCGTGAGGAACTTCCAGCTTCCCTTCGGGAGGCGGTTTCCTTCATTATTCAGTTCTGGGGTTTGATCTGTCCCCCTTCTGAAACCTAACTCTACTAGGCAGCTTTTTAAACAGAACTCCTGCTGATGTAAATGTGATTGTGGACTGTCTCTTCCCATTTTCATCTTCTCCCTATGGCTCTTGGGTTTTGGTCCCGTGAGGCCTCGCCCTGGGTTTGCTGTGCTTGGCGGTGATGGTAGCTCTTGCTGCCGCTGCTGGTGCTGCCATGTGTCCATCTCCAGGGGGCTCCCCTTGCGCCCTTCCTTCTCTGCTTATGACACCGGAGGCTCTAACTGGTTGGGGTGGCGAAGCTCAAGGATTAATGCTGAGATTGAGCTGCCGCCTCGTGTGGAAACTGCCTGAACCGGGACACTGGTGCCGGGAGACTGGTGCTCAGGTTTGCTCAAAGCCGCCTACTGGGGCAGCTGCCTTGTCCCCCACCTCAGAGAGGCGCTGTCCTTTGCACAGAAAATCAGGAGTTCAGCTGTGGCCTGTGGCAGGTGCACTGCTGTGTCCCTGGCGCCGAGGAGCCTGGTCGGGCCACCTGAGCTCCATTACTGGGGGAACTTACGGTTTTACCTCTGCGCACATCTGTTTCACTTTGTGTGACTTTTCTCTGTGGCACCAAGTCTGTAACTGGCTGGTTAACTCGACTCAGGTGCTGGCAGCCTCTTGTCCATAGAGGGTGTATCTTGTGCCCCTGAGATTCCCCTCAGCCCCTCTGAATCCCTCCTGGAGCCGGCCCTGCCCTCCGTCCAGGCTCAGCTGTCTCAGCGTCAGTTCGCGGCCACTCCTCATTCAGAAAGCCTGCTGGCCAGGCCTGCCTGCACCCCTGCCGCCCCGTGCCCCCCACACTGAGGGCCACGCTGTGGCCTCTGCTCTTTCTCCGGCTGCTCCCTCAGCACCGCTCGGGGCCACACAGCCACACGTCATCAGTTTGCTTTTTCCAACTCAGTTGTAAGTTATAATCTCTTTGAAGCCAAAAACTTTTTGTTTTGTTTTGTTTTGTTTTGTTTTTTTGTTTTTTTTTTAATGTTTTTTTTTTTTATTTATTTCTAGGAGAGAGAGAGAGACAGCGTGAGCAGGGGAGGGTCAGAGAGAGAGGGAGTCACAGACTGAAACAGGCTCCAGGCTCTGAGCTGGCAGTCAGCACAGAGCCCTACGCGGGGCTCGAACCCACGAACCGCGAGATCATGACCTGAGTGAAAGTCGGACGCTCAACCGACTAAGCCACCCAGGCGCCCCTTTTTTGTTTTGTTTTGTTTTTCTTAGTTTATTGTCAAGTTGGTTTACATTTAACACCCAGTGCTCATGCCCACAAGTGCCCTCCTCCGTGCCCATCACCCTCCTTCCCCTCCCCCCCGCTCCCACAGCCCTCAGTTTGTTCTCAGCATCAAGAGTCTCTCATGGTTTGCCTCCCTCTCTCTCCCCAACTGTTTCCCCTTCTTCTCCCCCATGGTCCTCTGTTAAGTTCCTCCTAATGCTCCTATACGTGCAAACATATGGTATTTGTCCTTCTCTGCCTGACTTATTTCGCTCAGCATAACACCCTCAAGGTCCATCCATGTTGCTACACATGGCCAGATTTCATTCTTTCTCATCGCCATGTAGGATTCCATTGTATAAATAAACAACATCTTCTTGATCCATTCCTCAGTTGATGGACACTTAGGCTCTTTCCATGGTTTGAAGCCAAAAACTTTTTAAAACATTTATTGAAATATAACACCCAGGGCACCTGGGTGGCTCAGTTGGTTAAGTATCCGTCTTCAGCTCAGGTTCTGACCTCACAGTTTGTGGGTTGGAGCCCCATGTCAAACTCTGTGCTGACAGCATGGAGCCTGCTTGGATTCTCTCCCTGTGTCCCTACTGACCCCCTCCTCAAAAATAAAATAAACATTTAAAATTAAAAAAAAGAGGAAGCACCTAGGTGGCTCAGTTAGTTAAGCATCTGTCTTCAGCTCATGTCCTGATGCTGTGGTCTGTGAGTTCAAGCCCCGTATCAGGCTCTGTACCGACAGCTCAGAGCTGTCGCTCCCCTACTCATGTTCTCTCTCTCTCTCTCTCTTTCTCTCTCTCTCTGTCTCTCTCAAAAATACACTTTAAAAAAACCCACATACCATCCATCCATAAAAGTGCACTTATCATAATTGTCCAGTTCAGTTAATTTTCACAAACCGAATACTCCATGTACCTGACATCCCGAGGAGGAGCCAGCATCGCCCATCCTCAGAGACCCCTCTGTCCCTCTGGTGCTGCCCTCTTCCCAAGGTGACCACCTGATTCTGGATGAATCGGCTGTCTTTGTGTGCCGTGGGAAAATCACCCGTGTACACGTGCAGCCCAGGGATGTCCGTTCTCATCGCAGTGTGCTCTCAGCTTCTCCATTCTACGTCAGGGATATGAGGACAGTCACACCTTGTGAATGTGGGTGTGCACCTCGCAGGGGAGCCCCTGGGGGTGTGCGTGTACAGATGTAGTCAATGCTGGCAGTGTCTGGAGCTACCGCTGAGAAATGCATTCCATTAACTGCTCATAGTTTCCACCTTAGTGAGGACTTACCAGCCGGCCACACGCTTGTCACACCCCTTCACATCCATGCAAGCGGTTCCATTCAGTGACATTTTGATTTTCTTTTTTTTAATATTCCCCAGGGCTTGGCTTTGTGCTACACTCAGTGAATGGTTACTGAATTTGCTTCCTCTGGCGAGCAAACCCCCTTAATACACTGGTTCTGGGTGGGCTCTTCGCATCCCAACGTTACACTTACTGTGTCTCCATCCCTAAAGATGGGGCACTGTTTTCCCTTCCCTTCCCTCTCACTCTGTCTAAAGCCGACTTGGATTTTACCTGCTGGTGTACCGTGTTCTGAGCTTCCTAGTAGTGTGTGTTACCTAAGTTCTAGGAAAGAGAGGACCATCAGAAAATGAAGTATAAAAGACCTTTTCTTCTTCTTTTTTAAAACAGTCGGATATTCTAAAAATCAAGCAATAGCACAGAGCTCGGGGTCTTATCTTTGCTTTTTGGATTCGGTAAGTAACTCTTTGTTTTATTTAAAATGTGTGTATGTGTAATGGTTGAATCATTAAATGACCTTACGTTTTAGTGTGGTTCTTGAAAATCATTATTCTTTTTAAAAAATTTTTTTAATTTTTTTTTTTTTTTTTTTTTTTTTCTGAGAGAGACAGCGTGATCAGGGGAGGGTCAGAGAGAGAGGGAGACACAGAATCCGAAGTAGCTCCAGGCTCTGAGCTGTCAGCACAGAGCCCGACGCGGGGCTCGAACCCACGAACCGTGAGATCATGACCTAAGCCGAAGTTTGATGCTCAACTGACTGAGCCACCCAGGTGCCCCGAAAATCATTATTCTAATATATAATGGTCAGACTTAAAAGTTAAGGTTCCTGGGCTCTTGCTGTTAAATGCCATAGCACTTAATAAGTTAATTAATTTTTGATAAATATGATTACATAAAAATACAGACTTGCACAGCAGAGAATCACGTAAATTAAACAGAAGATAAGTTGGGACGATGTGGAGAAACGTGCACTTACAGGATGAGCAGCGTTAGGGAAACACAAGTCACACAAGTTATAAGGAAGAAAGATTCATTGGGAAGGATGGGAGCAGGCAGACTGCAGCTGAACTCTTACACACCTGTCACTTGTGACCAAGGAAATGCAAGTGACATTCATGAGATACGAGCTTTAAAAACCAAGTTAACAGGGTTTTCTGAGTGCATATACTCAGCATTCACAAAGTGTGAATTGGGGATGTCGGCAGCATAGTTCTGCATTTTGTATCAAGAACTTAGAAAGTGCTCCTGCCTTGGGTGCCTCAGCCATGTAAGTGTCTGACTTTGGCTCAAGTCATGATCTCGCAATTCGTAGGTTCAAGCCCTGCATCGGGCTCTATGCTGACAGCTCGGGGCCTGGAGCTTCTTCAGATTCTGTGTCTCCCTCTCTCTCTAACCCTCCCCTGTTCACGCTGTCTCTCTCTCTCAGAAATATATAAAAAACATTAAAAAAAAAAAAAAAAAAGAAGTGGGATCTTATGCTCTCAGCTCCCAGCACTAGGGTGCCCCTGAGAGCCCCCTGTTTGGTCTGCTCCCCCAGCAGATCTAGGGGCAGCCGCTTCTCTGCTTCCCAGGTCTTCTGAGATACATTCATGGTTTTGTGTTTGTTTGTTGCTCTCTGTTCCCTGGGAGGCTGTGCGGAGCCATCCCAGGCCAAGGCATCAGGCGTGTGCTCCTGGGGCCTGGCCCTTCTGTCCACGCGTGGGTGGCCTCTGCTGGGTCCCAGGGCAGGCCTGTGTTCCAGGTGTCCTCAGTTTCTGGTCATTTCTCTCCCAGCCTCCCCCTTTCCTCAGTCTTCCTCACAGATCAAGGGACTGGTGCACATGCAGCAAGTTCCTGGAGCATGGAGTTCGGCCAGGGGACTGCTGGCTGCTCCTCGAGACCCTGCATGACCGTGGCCTTTTGCTGCTCTCTGGGTGGCCAGCGGGTTCAGTGGAGGTGTTGGTGGTGCTGGCAGGGACGGGGGGCACAGCTCAGACCCTGGACCCGTGCCCTTGAGCGTGCTGAATCTGCTCACCCAGCTGCTGGGAGCGCTCAGGTCATGCTCTGGTGGTCAGAGGGCAACGTGGGGCCTTGCCTACCTCACCCAGGGTGGGGACCCATGTCAAGGGTGAGAAGCTTCTGTCAGGCCTGGCTCTGGTCGTCTATCAGTGCACTTAGATTCATCAGAGTGGTCTCATTTCACAGGGTCACTCCCTGGGCTGTCCCCACCCCTTCCCTCCACACAGGTAGCCCCACCTGTACCCATTGAGCAGACATTTACAGCGAAAGGGTTCTGTTGTCCCGTGAAAGCTGCCTGTCTCAGAGATGTGAGGAGGGTGGCCGAGGGGGCTCCTGTGCCCACGCCCACCCCTCATCTAGGGCCTGTCGCACTCCGCCGGCCTTTCTCCGTGGTCCTGCTGCTGTTCAGGAAGACAGCACACCACCTCCAGCAGGGCCCTGTGCTTAAGTTAGAAACTGGGAGGGTGGCCATCGCTGAGTTGGCTACAGCAGGATTGGTGTGCAGAATAGTCCCTCCAAAACACAGTACCACGTGCCCTTGGGGATCTTTGAATCAGTCTTTTCTGAATGAGTTTCCTAAGGAAGAGAGAAGTGTTTGGACACCCGCCTTGGTGCTGTCAGGGTGCCCGCAAGGCGTGGAGCTGTGTGGACGGCGGGCAGCCCTGCTGGAGCGCCCCCAGGCCACCTGCCCAGGGCGCACACTAGGGCCTCCGCACATGGAGACCACGTGGGCCTCAGAGCCTCATTCCCCAGAAGCTGGAGGGCTGCTTTGCCTCTGACACATCAGGGGCACCGTGTCAGGCAGCCCCAGGGTCTGGCATGTACAGCCTGACTGTTCTCTAGCAGAGAGGAAGGTCCTGTTAGTGACTCATCTGTGAGTGACAGAAAGTGATTTGAACCACTTTTGTCATGAAGCATTTTGTCCAGACTGCTAGGAAGTAGCAGTGCTGACTGATTTAGATGCTCGCGGTTCATGTTTCTGTTTCCCTCTAGTTCTGTCCTGGGCATTGGGAGGGTGGAAGGTGGAAGTCGAAGGAAGGGGACTGAGTGCCCACAGGGCTGGGACCGGAGACCTGGTTCCACTCTGGAGGCTTCTGAGAGCAAAGCATTTGAGCACAGGTGTGGCTGTCACTGAGAGGCCACTGGGTGGTGGTGTTTCGCCCTATTTAGAGCAGCGTACCGGCCAGTAACTTGTTAGAGACACATGTTGCCAGCAGGTAAGACGGATTGTTTTTAATCGTCTCTGCACCATGTGCCCACCGATTTTTATGTCTGACTTACGGGATCATTGAGAAAATAGTGTTGCTGTCTGCTGCGTAGAGTGTGCTGCAACTTTAGAAGAGGGTTGCGCAATAGCAGGGCTCAGGTCGCGCAGACGCTTGCTTTTCCAACTGAGTGTCAGCTAGAAATTTTGGCTCCACAGGCGAGCGGGAGTGGGCAGGGTGGTGAGCTGCTCATGCCTGAAGGAAGCAGGAGAGGAGCAGGGGAGAGAGGTGCGGGGCCTCCGCCGGAGGCCTCTGAGTCATTTCTGGTCTCACCGATACTGGCGCGCACGGTTTCGTGTGATACGTCCAGAGTTGAGGCGAGCATCAGCGGTTTGCAAATCAAAAGAACTTTTGCCATTTTATAAAGCCATACTTTTCATTCTGTCTTCAACAGTGTATCCTGTAAATACACACTCCCCTCCATTAAAATAAACAATTGACAGAAAACTCAAAGTTCTGTATAGAAATTGTTTTACAGACTTTATCAGCCCGTGTGAGTGTTGATGCCTTTGTGGTACTTGGCTTTTGGGGGTACTTGCTAGGGCATGGCTGCAGCCCCCGTTGTGCTGCCTGCGTGAGGGCCGCACTGGGGGGCGGTCAGGGTGGCCGCCTCCCGCCCCCTCCCGCCCCTCCTTCTCCAGACACACCACAGCCTCTCCTTTCTGGGCTTCCTCTCCTCCTCTTTCCTGACAAGTAAATTATGGGCTCTGTTTTAGACCCAAGACCGGGAGGGCGTTAGCTAGGTCAGGAGCAGGGCCATGTGCTCTTAGTGGTGACTGTTCCCAAAAAGGCTCGAGTGGATCACCGAGAAGCAGGTGATGCCCATCTTCTGGTTTGATGGGCAGCTACAAATCAGTGCTGATCTGGGCAGGGGAGGGGGGGTGCGCCTACTTGTGTTCTTGGAAGAAAGAGAGAATCCTTCTCAAAACTCACGGAAGACTTCTCTGGACCAGAATACAGTGGAGAAAAGGGCTGTGTGAGCCCCAGAAGTCTCCGCACGTGGCTGCTCACACTGCTTCACGGGAGCCGTGCTCAGCTGTTTTTGTTGGCTCTGGGCGTCTGTGCTTGGCAGGCTCCAGCTCTCACCAAGTGCCACTAACCATGATTTCTTTAGAGAGACTAATGCCGCAGACAGCAGTGAGCTTTTGAAATATTTTCTGTTTGTGTAGTGTGTTTTCGTTTTGAGGCTTAGGAAAGGGGAATGGCCTGGGTGTTTGCTCAGCTGCTCCCTCGAGCACTGGTCCTGAAACCCCGCTGGCCAGGGAGAGAGCTTGCTGCAGACGTGGATTGGGACGGCAGCGGATGGACAGACCCCAGACCCTGCGGGCAGACAGAGTCACGGGCTTCCAAGCCGTTCCTTCCACACCCAGCCAGCCCTGGTGGCCTCCACCCAACAAGGAGAAGGTGGTACCCTCCTGTCCCACCTCCAGTGGCAGTGACTTCTGGTCACCTCCCTGCCCTCTCTGTCCTTCTGTGCCATGTACAGTGTGCTAGTGCCTACAGTCATGCTGGACCTGGCAGACTAGAGGGGCCACTGGGCCCGAGCTGGCAGGGGTGCGTGTGGGGACCCTGCCCTGGAGTCTTGCTGGCTCAGGAACAGTGGGGCAGGAAGTGCCAGGCCAGGGGCGTCTGCTCTGGGCTGTGCGAGCCCTGGGCAGTGCCCCATCCTGCCCTTGCAGCCCAGACTCCCCTGTGCCTCTCCTCCCTCCTGCTGAATCTCTTGCTCATCTGAGGAATTCTTTCTTTCTCAGTTAAAGGGATTTCCTTTCTCAGAGGAGCAGGGAGCCAGGGCGGGGGCACTGGCCACATAGCCTAGGTTCTGTCAGTGGAGGAGGCCACACAACTTGAACATGTGTGTATTTAGTGAATTTGCATGTGTCACCCGTAATGTCTCTTATGTGTGCTCCTGCTACAGTTATGGCTGTAGGAAAGGTGTGTATGCACACGGCCGGGGACTGGAAACTTAGAACAAGAAAAGCTGTGCGTTTGGGAGATGGTGGTGCTGTGTAACATTTCTGGTGTCGTCATGGCTCCTGTGCAGGAACCCAGAACTATGATGATGTTTATTTTTATTTTATTTTTTTTTTAATTTTTTTATTTATTTCTAGGAGAGAGAGAGAGACAGTGTGAGCAGGGGAGTGTCAGAGAGAGAGGGAGATACAGACTCTGAAATTGGCTCCAGGCTCTGAGCT